TCCATTTTTGTATACTGTATTTTTAATCTTTTTTTTCTTTACAACAAACAATTAAGTTATCTTAGGCGTCATCTCCACCGATTTCCAGACGACAAGAATCGCGTCCAGACACGCTTCCTATTGTATTCTGACGTCTTTTTAGACGCACTGATAGCTTGCGTCTGAGAGGCTTTTCGTCTATTCAACTTGTTTACCGTTTTGCAGCGTCTGTGCATTGCTCCTCCCCTCATTAAATGGTTGACTAATTTATGAATTGTTACAAAGTTAAACCCGTCCGGACGCAACTCGCACTGTCCAGACGCAGCCGATAACATGCTGCTGCAGCTGGACGATCTTCGTTTAGGTCTGTGGTTTAGGCCTACTATTTGACGGAATTAGACGGGTTCGAACCGCAGCATTGTCGAAAGCAGTGAATTATATTGTGTTACATTGGGTCGCAAGGAGGCTCCGTAAAATGAGCAGCGAATGTAATTTTTGCTTTCATTTAAATTTATCTAACAAAAAATGCGGCTTTATGAATAATAATTAATGTTTCAATACTGAATGTTGAAAGGAAACTGAACAAGCTTTTATGTCATGCATTGTACAGTTTCGTTTATTATTCTGTTTTTAAGAAGGAATTTTTAATTTTAATTTGTAGCCTAGTATGGGGTATGATGTTTAAGTTAAAGTCAGTTATAAATAATAATAATGATTCATTTGTTTCCAGTTGTAAAGCTGTTAGAAGGGTAATGAAAAACGACAAATGAAACAACTGATGTGCTTTCGATATGCGCGGCAGGCCGGTTGTGCCGCACATACCGATTAATGATTCAAGAAATAAAATCAATTCACTTTATTTTTATTTTGATACCTTTATTTTATTGCGAACGGAAAAATACTGTTTTTTTAGGCATATCAAGTTGCCAGCACTCCAGTTGCCAGTAACAACAGAATTCTGTGAGAACTCTCCCCACCCATTAGGTTCCCATGATACTCTATACTCTTGAGAGAATGCTGCTGAAACAAGGTCAATGATTTCTTTGTACGCCGCCAATCCAAAAATAGCGTCCGATCAGTCACGTGATCTGTTTGACTACGCAGTTGTTTAGAACGGTATGGTTGAGACTCTGCAAAGGTGACGAGAGTTATAAGGAATGTGTTTTAGTTGTATAGGACATCATAATTGCTGTGTCTGCCTATAAAACGTGGTACATTGTATTTCTTTTACCAAATTACTAACAAATGTACCAATACGTCCAGGTCAGTGGACACAAGGTGAGCGATGGTAAAGCTTGGATATAGATAAGAGAAGTACTGTAATATTTCACGATGCATAGGCCTACCGAAATGTACGGGTGCTGCAGGGCGCAAGCCGGCTGCTCGGCAAACAGACTCGCATTGGCCTGAAAGTATGGCTCCGTTTCAGTCACACACAGCTAAAAGAATCGTAATAGCACCACACACAATATTTATGGATTTCAGACAGAAAATAAAGTTTCAAAAGCTGATAAAATTAAACCCACCCTTGTGGCGGTTCTAGGATATATTTTTTTGTTGGGGGGGGGGGGGAATGGGGGGGGAGGGGGTGTTTATGGTCTGACTGCCCGACGAGCTCTATCCGACGAAAGGGCTTGACCTGTCTGGTGAGGACTAAGACCCCCCTGACACCCCGCTGGCGCCGCCACTGACCCTAAATTAAGTGATTTGATAGTGCACGGACGACGGCAGTGCAGGCTTAGCCTGCCAAATGAATCGCGCAGTATACCCGAGGCATTCCTTGGTGATTAAGATGAACACCATACTAGACATAATTATAATAATAATAATAATAATAAGAAATGAAATATATTGTTAAAATGTATTGTCCCTTGCTAAATACAAAAAAAAAAAAACACCAAAAAAACTTTAAAATATTTTTTGAAATTAACTGGGCCATTTGAAAGTTATCAACTTGAACATAGAAATTAGTGTATTTCAAAAAAGTCCACCAATCAGTTTACATCGAAAAGTAATAGAAAC